AGGGGAAATGCTTTCAATTTTTCACCATTGAGGGTGATGCTTGCTGTGGGTTTGTCATATATAGCTTTTATTATGTTGAGGTATGTTCCTTCTATTCCTGCTTTCTGGAGAGTTTTAATCATAAATGGATGTTGAATTTTGTCAAAGGCTTTTTCTGCATCTATTGAGATAATCATATGGTTTTTATTTTTCAATTTGTTAATGTGGTGTATCACATTGACTGATTTGTGGATATTAAAGAATCCTTGCATTCCTGGGATAAAGCCCACTTGGTCATGGTGTATGGTTTTTTAAATACTAACATAGATCTTTAAAGAAATAATGACAATAAAAGCTCTACATATCAGATTCTATGGGATGCATTTAAAGTAGTCGTCAAAGAAAAATTTATTGCACTAAACAAATTTATCAATAAAAATGAAAGAATAAAAGTAAACAAATTTATTTTGAAGGTAAAAAAAGGAACTAAAAAGCAGCAAAGTAAACCAAAAGAAAGCACAAGGAAGGAAATAAAGATAAAAGTAGAGGAAGAGAAAAGTAGATCTAAGTAATAAATCAGAATTCTGTAGTTTTGGGAAAAATTAAAATGGATAAACCACTAAATAATATAACTTGACTAGGAAAAAAGAGAGAAAGTATAAATACACAAACTAAAAAAGAGCAAAGGGGAAATAACCAATGAAATAGAAGAAAAATTTTAAATAATGAGATTATTTTATAGCCCTCTATCCAATAAATTTGAAAGCCTTGATGAAATGGATAATTTTCTAGAAAAACCGATTATTACTAAAATTGACCACATTAAAAAGCTTGAACAGACCAGTTTCCATAGAAGAAACAGAGAAAGTTATTAAGAAAACATTACATGAAAAAGCAGCAGGCCCAGATTGTTTCACAAGGGAATTCTACCAAATCTTCAAACATCATATTGCCTCAATGCTCTATAAATTATTCCAGAGCTGGTATATCAGGATAAGGATCAAGCCCACAGGAACATTAACCTTTCGAGGAGATGAACCAGCCAAGACTGAGAACAAACATCCTCTGAGGAAGGCGGGAACCCTGGAGCATAGAAGGATGTTTCAATAAAGGAGACTTTCATGGCAAAAGCTATATAGAGACCCAATAAAAGGAATGAAAAGTGTGAATACATGGCTTGAGGAAGGTAAGGAGACGGAGAAAGCCAATTACTAACAACATTTTCTAACAATCTGTCTGGCAGGGGAGGAGAGTAGCTGGGTTGCAGTTGAGGGATAAGGGTCTAGGCAGGAGGTTTTAAAATGGGAGCAACTTGAGCAGGTTGATTATTGGTAAGGAAAAATTATGTGCACGGCACTGGGGACAAAATGTAGAACCACAGTCATAGTAGAAATCTGTCTAGGCCCAATTAGTTCAGTGTTTCCTTTGATTCCTTACTATCAACTCCAAATAATGTAGTCAATTTCTCTCGATATTCCACATTTATATATTACATTCTTCAAATGTCCACACTGAATTTTTATCATCAGTCACATTTTATGTTAATTTGGCAAACATTACTCACTGCTAGCAACTGCTAGGGGCAAATCATACAAAGTCAGAAGAGACCCAGTTTCTTTACTGCAGAAGCTCAGTCTTCACTGGATAAGAAGGATCACAAAAGTACCAGTACTTCCTAGTTCACTAAGTTGTTTTGCAAACACTATCTCATTTAATCCTCATAAGCCTTTGAGGAAGCCAGAATTACCTCCATTTCACAGATGAAGAAACCAAGCCTCAGAAAAGTTAACCAACCTGCCCCAAGAGAAAGATGAAAAATCAGAATCCAGAGTCTCAGACTCCAACATTAACACTTCCCCGCCTTGCAACTCCTACCTTCAGAAAGATGACTCTGAAGTGACTGCCTGGTCAGCAGAATTGGACTTTAGCACACTTGAGAATAGTTGACATCCTGCATCACATCTAAAATTGCCGTCTAAATTTGGAAAGCAGCTTTTATGTCCGCTAGCTGCCTGGATATTCTGTAACCTGTAGGGCACAAAGACTATGTTTTATTCATCATGATCTCAAGGACTGTGTTTTATTTAGCTTTTATCTGTCCCTCTCAGCGTTATATATAGTGCTTTTATTTATTTTCTCCTTCAACACTAGTAGATTCAATCATTCATTTAATTTCATAACTCTGGTATCATTTTCAATATAATCTAGGGCATCAGCATAAAACTTCAAATTTAAAAGGTGAAAGAGTGGGGGCAAAGAGTATCACAGAACAGCTTTCTGAATTCAGAAATTAACATTAGAAAATCAATATGCTCATGTGTTCTGACAGTTTTATAATATGGTAAAAATTAGCAACAAGACAAAGTATGTTTAAATGTACTTTCAAAAAAAAAATGTACTTTCATTTGACCCTTAAAATCACCCTGCAAGAAACGCAAAGTAAAGGCACTATAACCTCCAATTCAGAGTTGAGCAAACTGTCCATGCTCAAGATAATCAGATATACTGGAATTCGAGTAAGTCCTGACTTCAAATCTGTTCACTTTATTTTTTTTTTTTTGTTCACTTTATAATGCCTTTGCCTCACCAAGATAACCCTTCTTTAGGAAACTAGTGAAGGTAGAAGATGAGAAACAGAATTGCCATCAACCAATAAGCAGCGTGGGGGGCGGGTGCGAAGAATGTCATCAACAAATAAGCGGCATGGGGGATGGGGACGGGGCGGGGCGGGAAGAAGAGGACATCTACAGAAGGATGCCTGTTCTTGATTGCAGAACATAAATGGCCTTGAAGGGTTCCAATAGAAATCCTTTAACTGTTGCCTTTTGTTAGGGTGGGGAAAAGGACACTCACATATTGTTGGTGGGAGTGCAAAATAGCACATCCTTTCCAGAGGGAAATTCACATTAAAAAAAAAAAAAAACACCAACAATTCTATCACTTAGGAATGTACACTAAAACAGTAATCATGGATGTGCAGATTTTATATTTCTCCAACGAAGTGTTTAAGTAGTGACAAACTGGGAATAACCAACTACGTAAATTACTGCAGCCAAATAACAGCATGCTATGTAGTCAGGAAACAAAAAAACTGGTTATCGAAGAGAATCTACTTCATAATTCATACATTCATCTCTGCAAAAAAAAAAAAAAAACAGACGGAAGGTGTATCCCCAGCGTAAACATTCACAACGGTTATTTGAACGGTGAAAGAGGAGTTATCTTCCTCACCGTGGTTCTGTATATTTTAGAAATTGTATATATAAATATATTATTAAATATTTCGCTATGTAAATATTTCTAATCAGATGTTTTAAAGGCTTCTGGGGAGGGTGTGAAAGAGCAGGGCTTTCAAAAGAACACTTTAGTAGCCATTTTAAAAATACCACGTGAAAAAAAAAAGCATTTTACACCGTTACCATGAAAACACCATCGAAAAATAAAGCACTCATCATGAATCTACATCAAAATCTTTTATTTTCAAATTCCAGTCTTTCAGTCATACCAGCTCAAATTCAGGAAAACGTTAAGAAGGTTGCCTGGCCAGAAGTCTGGGAGACCTTCTTGATTTCTACCTGTAGTTTTTAGTTTGTTTCAGAAAAGAAAAGCAATCACCTAAGAGGCAGCTCAAAAAGCACCTCGGCAGGAAAATATGTGGGAGGATAAGTTTCTCTCCGATTTCTTTCCCTCCCGACCTACGGACAGGCCAAACCTGACAGTAGCCGGCCCATTTTCCTAAACACACCTCAGAGAACCACAGAAGATGCAATTTTCAATATACGGTTCTAAAAAGACAAGTTGTACTTTCCAATGTAGGATAAAGAGCAGCCTTCACTACTCACTCTGGATGTTACCAGAGCAAGACGCCGCTTCCCGGCAGGAGAGCCTCTGGAGAAGGACAAAGCGGGGGCTCCTCGGCTCGGGTCCCTCAGGCGACGCGTCGGCAGGCGCCTCTGGGAAAAGGGCTCCGTCCCTGGGCACCGCCCCCTCCCCCCGCCCGTCCCCAAGAAAGACGCTTGTAACCACTGGGATCCGAAGCCTGCCCGACGACGGGCGAGGGTCAAGACCACGGCAGCAGGTGCCCGGGTCGTCGCTTCTAAAATAAGTCACCGGTCTAGTGTCCAGAGATAAGGGAGCAGTCCCCCGGGATGCCAAGCTGGGCCGCCTCAACCGCCCCAACCGCTACCCCAAGAACCGTTCCTCCCAGGCGACGGACACGCCCTCCCCTCAGGCCGGGGCCTCCTCGACCTGCCCGCCCCCCAGGGCCGCTCACCGGATCGAGAAGTTCCCGCGACCGCCGCCGCCGCGGCCGCCGCCGCCGCCGCTGCCGGCCCCTCGGGCCTCGCCCCTCGCACGGCCGCCACCTCCCACAGAAGCGACAACAAGGCTACCTTCAGCCGGGCCGCGGGACCCGGAACTACTTCCTTCCGGAACCGCCTCGCCCCCCCCCCCCATGGCCACGCCCACCGCCTGTTACCTCGCGCAGAGCCCGCTCTCCCGCCGACCTCTGCTCTCAACTCCTTCCCCGAGACGGGTGCCCCGCCCAAATGGCTCCGGCCTGAGCTCCTGCGCCCTCTGCCGACCGTTCCCACCTCTGTAGCTCTGTCCAGGGCGCATGCGCCTTCTGCTGCCCTCCCTCCGGGAAGGAACACAATGGGCGCAATGGTTCACGGATCCTGGAGGTTAAAGGTCAGGGATAGGAGCCCACCCCTCAGTAACAGGCAGGAGCTTGGTCCCGTGGATTTCAGCCCACCCGAACCTGCAATGGCTGTGGCTTCTTTCCTGCCTACTCAGTCTCTAGCCATTCCCCATGGCCTCAAATTAAGCTTCTACCCAAAAACACAAAACCTCCCCTCTAGACCTTCCAAACAGGTTAATAATAACATTTTCTCTCCACCATGCAATTAAAAATATTGACTCATTTTTGCCTGCTCTCTTGATTTCTCTCCTCCCACACTCCATCACCCCAAAGGTAGTATGTCCTCGCTCTTGAAGCTTTCTCACTTGACACTTTGATGTTCCTTTTGCCCCTTGCAAGATTTCTCTTTCAGGGTCCACTCCATCAGGTGGACCTTTTATCTTCCCTTGCCAACATCATCTACTTCCTGAATAAGTTTCCCTCTCCACCTGAATTACTGCCATCAACCTGATGAATCCAACACCCATGACTAAGGCTTGCTTTCTTAACTTCCTCAGTCCAGATGACTTGACATCTATTCTACTTAATCCATCCATTCCCAGGTACCCATTCTATAAAATCTAGATATCCATCACTTCATACTGTGTGGTAGCTAAAACCTTAAGTTTACAAACCCCATTTATTTGGACTCAATCCTCATTCTTGCAGCCCTGTGTCTCCCTTAGTCCCAATACACTTGTTCTTCAAAATCCAGAGCCCTCACATCCCCTGACAGGCCCATGGCCTTTGACTTCAACCACTCTTGTAAGCAGAACACTTGAATCACCCTTTAATACACGCTAACATTACATTGCTAACTTGAAACACTCCAGTTATCTGCATTTTCCATTCCTACACCTAGGTTTCCAAGCACTGCTTTGGGAGGAAAAAGCCACACAACTATAATATTAATATGGAGACCCCTGCAGTGGAGAGCCTTGGTGCCTCTCAGGAATCCTTTTATGTGACCTCTCTCATTTCCATAATAGCTGTTCCTAACCCTGACCACCCTCTTTAAGCCCCATACCAATGATCATTTTCCTCTCTTCATACATGAGTTTTGCTTCCTGTTTTGCAGAGAGAATTTCCCAGCAGAGTGTGTAAGGCCTTGCATTATCTGGTTCATACTTACCTCTCTAGTTGCTCTGTTTTGGTCAATGCTTGGAAACATAGGTGTAGGAATGGAAAGTGCAGATAACTGGAGTGTTTCAAGGTGGTGGTTTGATGTTAGAATGTTTGCATGACACTTGTTATTACTTTATAAATATCTGTGTTCCCTACCTCACTGTAAACCTAATTTGGCAGAGACCAAATCTGTTGCTTACTATTACCAGCATTTAGCAGAATGTCTGGCACACAGTAGTGAGTCATTTTCATAAGTATGCTCTTTCTCTTCCACTGTTAGGTTTTGTGTGCTTCACAAATACATATGTGTGTGTATATATATAATGAAGTATACAAAACTAATATATATATATATATATTTCTTTTTGATTCATCTTTGAACAAACTGATTTTTGTTCAGACTTATTACTGATTAATAATAAGCACAAGTAGATGGCCCTTGCCCTTAATGCTGCTTGTGTGGACACAGAGGTTAAGTAGTTTGCATAAGGTCTCAGAGCTCTTGGTGTGTATATGACTAGAACACATATATAGAACCAGCCTAAGAGAAGTGAAATGTTATTTGCCTTTCCATTTATTTTATTTTTCTTTAGTTTTCAGGCAAAACCAAATCTACTGTAGAATGCCAAGTATACGTAATATAAGTTCTATATTAGTGAGAATAAATTATGCTATGATAACAATCCCCAGATCTCAGTGGCCTATAGCAACAAATGCTTATTTTTCACTTATATTTCAAGTCCACCATGGGTCAGCTTTGGTTCTATCTGAGACCTGGTGGGTTACAGTTCATGGGGTCACAAAGAGTTGGACACGACTAAAACGACTTAGCACATACACATAAGACATTACTGGTGTCAAAACCAAAGAAAAGGACCATGAGTGGGACCATGCATTGGATCTTAAGCCTTCTGCTTTAAACCTGAATCAGAAATTCTAGGGGTGGGACCCAGCACAGTTTCAACAAGCCCTCTATGGGATTCTAAACCATGATCAAGCTCAAGAACTACTTCTCTGTTGCTTGTATTTTCTGTAAACCAGAAGATGAATGCAGAGGCTTGATAAAATTCACACTAGTTTTTAAACTGATTCTTAAACAAGAAAAAAAAGTCAAATTAAAAAGAGAGAGAGAGAATCAAGGCTCTTGACATAGACTTAGACCAAGTGTCAACTGTCATTGTCATTTTTTGGAGGAACACTGCTTTGGGGAAAACCTGTCAGCTGCCCTGATATGTACCTCCAGCCATCCTTCTGGATAGCTTTATTTTTTAAATGCTAATGTGAGAATAAGGTAATTAGGAAGAAGTAGGACAAATCACTCTCTCATCCCTTGACAATGCTGTTGGCCCAGATTTTTCTCACAGTTTTAGTCTACTCTGGTCCTTATAAACCCAGGACTGACAAAACCAGGTAAGTTTTCTCTTTCCTTAACCATCTGACTTTGGTTATGTTCCTTAACACTGTCAGTGAAATTGAATGTAGAATGCTTAGCTAGCCCTGATCCCTCCTCTTTTTCTTCCATTCCATGATATAGGCACTTTTTGGTGGATGCTGTTCTTTACCTTTACTTTTTAAAGGGCATCATCAACAGTAGAGCACAGACAGAAATGATTTATAACATTTGGAAGAAAATTATTTTAGACAGGCTAATGCTGCAGATTTCTTTTTGCTTATTCTAGTCACTGACTTTATGGCTGTTTTCCTACTGAGACGGAGGACAAATTCCTAAACAAGATTTGGTAGCTGCTACCACCCCTTTGGTTCCATAAATTGTTTCCTTTGTAATGCAATATGTGAAGCAGCTTGGCCCTGGTTCTGAAAGCAATACAATATGTGTGGTTTTCAAACAATATGTCAAAAGTCAGCGATTATTTTGAAAAAAAGTTTTTTGATTGATGTGAACTAACTGCATTGATGCAAGGCAAAAAGTAATGGTGAAGTTAGGTTTAAAACTTAATTTCACTGCAAAATAATTGTTTAAAATTCATTAATTACCTTATTTATATCTTTACAGTTCTCCCTGAAGCTCTTCCCATAAATACCTAAAAAAAATGTTTTGGGGCCACACCACATGGCATGCAGGATCTTAGCTTCCCTGACCAGGGATTGAACCCATCCCCTCTGCAGTGGAAGGGCTGAGTCTTAACCCGTGGACCACCAAGGAAGCCTTTTTCCCCCAAATCCTTGATAAACTGAGTTCACCTATCTTTTCCTATCACAAGCAGGTCCTGCGTCCTGACACAACCCAGACACCAGTCATTAAGCTCTCAGAACTTTCATTTGCATGATCAATTTGCTTTGTTTAACTCCGTATTTGTTAGGTACCCCATAGCTGCTTCTTAAATAGCACGATGCCTAGCTGGCTCTGGTGGGGTTCTTCCAGGAACAGGCTCTGAGACCAGTTAGCACAGAGGAAGGGCTCCGGGAGTGCTGGGGGTGGGGTTAGGGCGGGGGAGTGACAGAAGCTGGAGCCAGAACTTGGGCTGCAATACATTCTCAACAAAGGCCTCAGGTGACCCCCTAGGGAGCTCCGAAGCTGGGACAGCCCTTCTGAGTTGTCCTACCTTGAGGCAAGTGGTCTTCACTGGCCCAAATAATTCAGTCAGGATCCAGCCTCTCAGGCTGGCCAAGTGAGAGGATTTAACGTTGGTGAGGCAGCCTCCTTCCGTCAAGGGTAATTCTTGGAAAAGAACTACACCAACAAGCCTCAGCAACTTACCTCCAGCATCTGGAAGGAGACATCCAGAAGGACAAACACCTTGGTCCTAAAGGGGAGGTCCATCCAGGTGGTGCACCACAACATCCATGACGCTAGCATCCAATGTGACCTTCAAAGCCATTAGAGCCGCTGCTTAAACTTTCCCATAGGCTGCTGAGGGCCTAGTGTCCTCATTGTCAAAGTGTAAGTTCCCAAAGGTTACAAACATAATTGTGATACAAATGTTCAGTGAGCACGTGTCACACCTGTGTTGTAAGGGTTCAGAACGAGCCATCCCCAAATGTGCCACATTCACATGAGTATTATTTTGAGACTCTGCAGATTCAAGAGAAACTACTGCCCTCCTTTGATTACCTAAAAGAATTGAATTTTTTTTTAAACCAGAGAAGACTCACTAGCAGAAAAAAATTTTATCTACATGGCCCCATCTACATGGCAGGACAAACATCCAATTACCAAACATCTGCTCTTCTTCTTATAGTCCTTTGGGTGACACCCTTGTCCTTGGAAGCCCCTGGCCCCCATTCCATCCCTCAGTTCAGACAGCAGAGACCTCATTTTTACCTGTCTCCAAACCTCTTATAAACATGGGGTCTCTGACCTGCTCATGTATGTGGAGTTCCCATATGTATGAAATTAAAGTTGATTATCTCCTCTTAGTCTGTCTCATCGTTGATTTCTTAGATCAGCCAGAAGAACCAAAAAGGGTACAGTAAGTTTTCTTCCTTCCTGACAGTGTTTAACTCATTAAGGAGCAGGGTAATGAAACTTGATTAGGGAAGATACAGAACCGATTGTGACATGCTCTTGGATATAAGTATATACTCATAGATGTTAGAAGAGCTTTAGGGGTTGAATGCAGCGCCACCCCCCCCCCCCATGGCTGCTGGTCTTCATGGTTGTTTTAGAACAAATGGGGTCCTACTGGCATCACTGAGAGGAAAGAAGCAATTTCATTTGCACAGTAGACCTGGCCTTCTGAAGACTTCTCAGGGGCCACCCCTGTACAGTGACAGCTCCAATGGCTGGTATGAGTTGTTCAATGTTCACTGCTAGTGAGAAATGATGCAGAACGTGGAAATAAGCTGAAAGGTAACTGTGCCCTTACAGAGCCCTGCAAGAGCATGGTTTCAACAAGACAGCCCAAGGGGCTGCTGAGTCTTGGGGCATGTGACCTTGCTTGACTGCCTATGTGCTGTGTACTAGGATCCCATCTCTGGAGTTACTCACTTGTAGCCAGGAAGTTGTAATGACTTTTGTCCTATGGAAAAGCTAATTCCAAAGTTTATACCTGTTTGTACCTGTAGGGCACTAAGCAGTTTTGTATCTAACTTTACAGTTGTATCCAGAATTCTTTGTCCACTAAATATATGTGTGTTACTGTGTGTAATTGCTTCTTTCCTCTCAGTGATGCCAGTAGGATCCCGTTTGTTCTAAAACAACCATGAAGACCAGCCATGGGGGCTGCATTCAACCCCAAAAGCTCTTCCAACATCTACGGTGCAGGACCTAGCATCTCCCTAGCTATTATCTCTATGGTGACAACGTTCTGGCTCTCAAAGATGAGCCTGCGCGCACTACTAGGAAAATGTGATTCAAAGACAAGTACAGCCAACAGAGAGCTGTGGGCTGATTCGAAAAAGGAAGTTCCCTTAAGCAAAAGTTTAATTCCTTGGGGCTTCATTCCTTACATTTTGCGTCTCATGAGATGGGAGAAGCCTGCCTTCATATTTTCTTGGAAGTCCAGAAGGCTGGCCGCTTCAAATCTTTCCCCTAACATCAACCATCCCTCAGGGCCAACCGTTAGAATCAAACTTGGCATTTTCTAACTGTTGCACAGAAGCTTCTTGCTTATCTATCACAGAGCGAAAGGCAGGCTCACCATTCCATGTCTCTCATCAGCCTAAAGGGCCCATGCTGGGCATCTGATAGAAAGCCCATGTTTTGCATCTGATGCAATATTTACGCACAGAGAACGTGAAACAAAACAGCCAACATGAATTGACTTACATAAACACAAATCTAATTTGGCCTGTTGGAAAATAGGGGGAAAGGGGGGACGACCGGTTCAGGGAATATTATTTTCAAATCCCATGGTCTTGCTTCCAGGTACAATAGGAACTTGAACTGGTGATAAACTCTGCTACTGTGAATAGATAGATGGATAAGTAACCCTTGAATAGCATACTCAGATGAAAAGGTTCTAGAATTAGATAGTGGTGATGGTTGTGTGACCGTGAAGAAATCAAAGATAGAGTTACATCCTTTAAAAGGAAGGAATTTTTATGGTATATGAATATCATAATTTGTTTAATAAAAAGAATCAGAATTATGACTCTCCATGGGGCTTCCGCCCCTTCTCCATAATAAGCACCTGCTCTAGCAAAGCATTTCTGCTGCTCTCCGGGTTGGAGAGCCCGCCAACTCTCCTGGGGGCACCAAAACAGTGGACCCAGGGTCAATCCCAGCTCTGCAAAGTTCCAGCTGTGTCCTTGGGAAAGTAACACTTTCCTACCTACCTCACATCCTTGACAAGTCTTGGGACCACCTCTCATACAGCAGGGGTGTGCTGACTGTTCTGGTCCATTCCTGCAGGAGAAGCTTAAGCCATGGCGAATGGAGGCTACTGCTTCCCACCTCCTGAGATCACGGCATATCCCAAATTGGGTGAAGCATCAGTTTGGGTCTTTGGAGGTTGGTACCAAGTCTCGTGTCTCAATTTTCCCGACTTAAATCTTGAACCACAACTGACAACCACACCTTGGACCCCACTCCTGACCTGATCATTTCCTCACTTCTGGGTCCTTATCCCCAACTCATCAGAGATCCTAAACTTGGCTGACCTTCAGGAGACACTAAGTCACATGTTCTTTCTCTCCAGAAACCAACGATCCACCCACCCTGGTCCCATGATGCATTAAATTCTCATGTTTCTTGGGTGTGTTGCTGATTTCTATTTCAAATTCTACTTCTCTATTAGACTACACTATTTTAGTTATGGCAGTTTTATTATATATTTTACTGTTTATTGTGGGGGGGGTCTGTTTTAAAGACATATTTTATAAATTTCTTAGCTTTGTGTTCATTTTCTTACATGAAATGTACAAATTATATTTTCTTTTTCTAAGATCCCACATGGCTTATGGGATCCTAGTTTCCTAACCAGGGACTGAACTTGAGCCCTTGACAGAGAAGGCACTGAGTCTAATCACTAGACTGCCAGGGGTTCCCTGTACAACTATATTTTAAGTTGCAAAACAGAAATCTCATGGAGAAGAACTTCATTTAATTTACACGAATGTGAGGGTGAGTCACCTACTTGTCTTTATCAGGTATATAGGTTTTCCCTTTCAGGAACATGGCATGTCTTTCCATTTACATCTATTCTAATGTTCTCTGGTCAAGTTTTAGACAAAGCTTGTTCTTTCTAGAAATTTTATAAGCTTTGTTGGGATTATTTTCCTGTCTGTATTTAATGTATAAGAAAACTATCAATTTTTATTCTCTTAGTGGTCAGCTCCCCTGTGCAACTATCCTGAGTTTCCTAGTTATTTCTCTTGGGCTCCCTGCAAAAAGACTACCTGTAAAGGCTTCTCTTTTCTAATGTTCCTAAGAGTTCTTGCTACATTTTCTTACACAACTGAGCTTCCTGAGTAACACTAAAGAGTGGGGATGGATGTCACTCAGTGTTGTGCCCCAATGTAATGGGTATAACTCTAGAAACAAGTTATTTCTTTACATTTGCTTTCCAAATAAAAAAAAAAATTATGAAAGAATTTGACTAAGAGAAAACCTGTAGTTACTAAGAAAGATTTAGAATGTCACAAAACAGAAATTTCTCTTGGGAATGACTAGCCACCACTATAACCCTCTGGTCAGAGCTCATGATGACAGAAGCTACTTTATAATGCCACAGTCCAAGGCCAGCACATGGAAAAAATTAGGATGTCCACTCCTGTATCCTCATTAGGGGCTTTGTCATCAGAACTAAGGAGAGCTTCACTGACTGAGTCCTCAACTTCAGAGATGGCAGCCCCAGAAGTTACCACAAAGATCCGACATCCCTATTTCAGTCCTGGCCCCTCAGCTCCTGGTCTTGGTTGGAACTGCCTTCCAGGCTGTAAACAAGTCATGATTTAGATGTAAAAAAGTTGGGGTTTCAGCTTACTGGAAAACAGGGGTCATCATTTCCATTATAATTTTGTTTAAATGCCAGATTGCTCTGTGGGATGTTTTTGGAGATTACACTAAGGTTAACTGCATCTTCGCCAGCTAGAAATCCCTCACATCACTGGTATGAAAGTAGAGCAACTTTACTATACTTACAAGTTCCTCATGTCTTGGGAAAGCTCATCACTGAAGCTTATTTCCACAGTTGGCTTCAGTTGGAACTGGTAATAGAGGAATTTCCATGAGTTATATAGGGAAAGGACACCCACACGGGATTTTAAATTTTTTTCCAATAAGATTTTAGACATCTGGTATCTGGTTTGGTTTCAGCACATTTTTTTTCATTGACCCTATAGAAACAAACAAAGCACTACACAGCATCAGACTCTTTAATGAAAATGTATTTCACAGTAAACACAATGTACACGTCATGCAAATGAGGCATCACCACGATCACAATGGTGCTGTGAGGTATAACAGATGCAAGAAAACAGACATTTAGCAAAACAGGGCTGTAAAAAAGATGGTGAGACATTTTTGAAAGTCAGACCATGCTACCATTTTCTGTGTGCTTGTCATAAAAGGGATTTTTCCCCAGACAGTCATCAAGATCCATGGCACTGTATTATTGGAGGCATGTATTTTATTTAGTATATACACCATACACAAACATACACCATTTCCGTAACTAATAGTCTTACACTGTAGCTGGTTTTAAGAGCACATGAACAAGATTACTACTGAGACTTCTTTGTACATTCTGGTTGCAAACTTCAGTCAGAATTATGGGTCTTTCCAAACTCTTTATTGTACAAGATAAAAAAAGTTTTCAAAGAAGAAAAGGTTATTTTAATCTGAAAGTCACATTTCACCACAAGAAATGAAGAAAACATACTGCTGCTGCTGTTGCTGCTAAGTCGCTTCAGTCATGTCCGACTCTGTGTGACCCCATAGATGGCAGACCACCAGGCTCCCCTGTCCCTGGGATTCTCCAGGCAAGAATACTGGAGTGGGTTGCCATTTCCTTCTCCAATAGAAAACATACTATTATATGGCAAAAACATGTGGAGTATACATACATTCTACCGTCATTTTCCCCTGTCCAGATGTTTTTATGTTCAAGTCTGTTATAGTGCCATTTTGGAGCCAGTGCAGGGCCCCTTGTCTCAGAGCACTATGCTTTTCATTTGTGCCTGGTTTTATTAGAGATGAACAAACAAACAAAAGGCCCAAGAGCCAAGAAGAAAACAGCAACAACATGAAAAGCAACCACCTGTGCAGGAGATGAACAAATCATTCAATCCAGAAGCCACCTGAAGGTTTGAAGTGACTATAGCTTGAAAGATTTAAAGGTGCAACATGAAAAGGTCCTTGCAAGATTCAGGTGCTCAAGTCTGGAGGAATATGCCTAAGAGAGCAGACAGTCTTCCATGCTGTTCAATGACTTCCTTAACTCAGCCAGACTCACTCTGCTGGCCGCCCAAGGAGCAATGAGAAGCAACACATTTTGCAGGCGGCTAAGCTTAATAATATTAAATGTGGCTTCTTGATAAAAACTTCCAGCAAAGAAACCTCAGAGATGAGGGAAACCCTCCAGAATTTGTTCTCCTTCTACAGAGCCAGGGAGATATGCAGCCCAAGTTCAATGTATGTTTAAATAGAGTCTGGGTAAATGTCTAGAATATTTACCAGAAAAGACATCTAAATGTTTATATGCTTCAAGTTTGGGGATAAGAATGGTTATAAGGTGACTTTTCAAGTCAAAATCACACGGGTTATTCAGAAGATCACTATGATAATAGAGGAGTACAGGAAGCGCTTTATCAGCAGCTAAAGATCATAAATAGAACTGTAACATGGAACTCTGCTAAAGCCCGAAAAGGCCACTGTCTCAAGCTTCTACTGAGAGTGGCCAGCGTTTGACATACTAATAAGGAATGCAGTTACATTTCAATTTAATAGTTTAGAATCCAGCAGTTAAAGACGACTGAAGTTTCTTCAGAGGGCCGGCAGCTCAGATTTGACTACCAGCAGCTTCATGGGTTCTCCAAACACCACCTGTGTCAATTCAAAACCAAAACCAGGTGAAACCAATGGAGAGACAATATTTTGCAATTTGTAGCATCTATTCTCTGTCACTAAAATGGTCATGCAGTGTGGGACTTTCTACCTTCTTAGTAACTACATTTCCTTGACTTATAGTACCTCTCAATGAAAGTGCTGCAGCATTTTGTGTAAGACTATTCTTTGGGGAGTGGGATCAAATTTTCTTCATGTGGGACTATCCTAAAACCTGCAGGATGTTTAATGTCACAAGTTTTGCTTTCCAAATGCCAGTGCTGCCTCCAGCCATTGTGACAACAACCCGCTCCAACACATTTACAGTCGGGGTGGTGCCACCTCTGGCTGAGAAGAATTTGCTAACTAGACTATATGACAAATGAAAATATATAAGGAATGTAAATAAATTATTTAGCCAAGATTTTTTTTTTTTTTGGACAGGGATTTTGGACTTTTTTTAGTTAGAGAGGTAGGAAATATATTTGAGGAGCCATGAACACTCTTCTAGGTTTTGCGGATTTTCTGGTCCTTATTTGATACTGAGGTAGGTGAACCAAAGGGTACAATGTACTCTAACAACAAAAGAAACCTCTCACTAAATATTAATCCATGTAACTGTCAGGGAAATAAAACACTCAGGTGACTTTTTTAAAGTGTCCAAGAAAAGTAGCTACTCTTCCAACCAGGGATATGGTTTATTTTAAAAACTACCTGTCACGCATTCCCTCTCATATGTGAAAAGGACCACAATTGCTTCCCCAAAGCCAAGAGAACCAAACTCTAAAATGCACTGTCTATAGTCAGTAGCTGAGGTCATGCAGAAATAAGCATTTGAGACACGGTGACCCCAGTCACGTGGCCTCCCCAACTTGTTTCCTTGTTTGAGAAATAGAAAGGTTGGACTAAGTCACATCAAAGCACTATTATAGGAGTGGAATATCATAAAACAAGGTGACTTGTTGAGAACAGAAAATTTTTGTTAACAGTCTAAAATGGGAGCAGCAATTAGTTATGAAAGGCTCTGATGATAGATTCTGTTTTCATCATTCAAAACTAAGCCCCAAAATCTGAAGTAAAGCCAACAGGAGGTGATTATAACTACACACAAATTCAGAGTGCTTATAACCCATAAATGTAACTTACTCAAAGAAGGAGCTTCTAGAAACACTTTGGCAAGAAAAAAGGGCCAAAGGAAGGGAACAAAAGCTTCAGGCATAAACTTCAGTTCTTCCCCCCTTGCCTCAGATATGATCCAAGAACAGATGTTTGCTTTGAAAGAATCCAGAAGAAGTCAACAGAACAGCAAATCACTTGGCCCAACACTCACCAATGCATATGAGTGATTCTAGATAGAATGTAGGATATCACTGAATAAAACTGGTGGGGGGAATTCTTTTGTCTCTAAAAAGTTGCTACTTGAGACAGATGGCTGGTCAAACTTTTAGCCAGTGCTTCTACACACACTGCCCCAAACAGCAGGGGTGAGCACAAGGGGTGTGGTGCTGAAGGCTCTTGTCTGAAGGATTCATTTGAAATCCATCTCAATTCTTGTGTGTACTGCAATATATACCATGAATTCACATTTATATTTGTGCTTTTTAAATAAAATTGACCATCCAGGAGGCTGAGTGATGTTTATCTTATCTTCACAAACCCAGGTTGAAGAGTTACAGAATTAGACTGTCATCAAAAGACTGTACCTTTCATTAAAGAGATGTTGTATTTGTCAACAGAAGGTGTTCAGAGTATTTTCTTGGCCAGGACTGTTAAATCCTTCGATCAGGTTTTTGTTACAGTCATCCAGGCTGAGATTTTCACTGGATCTCTTGGGGAAAATGGGGGGGCCAGTGAAATCTAAGAGATCTTGAAGTGCTCGGGCATTACCAGTTCCATTTTGGTCCAGAGATACCCCAGGAATCATTTCACTCACTGGTGAAAATTCTGGGATAGAGATAAGCTCTTCTTTTGAAACAGGACTGGAGGGCGGAGGGAGAGAGGGAAGGAGAGAGAGATGGAGAGATAGAGAGACAGACAGACACAACTATTAATTCTACTTGTCATATTTTGTTATACTACTCTTCTTTCCTAGAGAAGATGGATTTAGAGCCAGAGTTTGTGTGTAACACATTATAAAAGATACAGGTTAGTTCAAGTCTGAGACACTGACAGAAATGAAGCCCCCAGGAATGAGAACAGGGAAGTGGATTTGAGACAGGAGGGAAGGGGCAGCGCACAAGCTTTAAAAGAATGACATAACCCTTGAGGATACAACAAAAACTGGTTAGAATGGATTAGGCCCAAGATGGTGGAAGACTGGACATCCACAAGACCTTGGGCCTCATTATATGCCCACTGTAATGCATTAGTATATGATAACTGACACACACGAAGATGCCATGACAGTTCAGAGAAGTTACATGGTGTGTCAACCATAGGCCTAGCTCAGATGAGCAATGGGCTGGGATGTGAAGCCCCCTCACCAGGGGTCTCTCTGAACAGCCAGAGTAGGGCTGCTGTCAGGTTTGTCTGTTTGGTTTTTTTCCCTCCTCTGTAAGAGCTGGGAGAAGAATCTAGAAAAACTAGCTGAACTGCAGAAGCTCAGATGATCTGTCTCCCTCACACTGAATATAGTTAAAGCGAAGCAGCTGACCTAACACCACTTCCGGTGGCTGAAGCCTGGGCAAACTGTTTCATTACTGGGAATGCCTGCCCCATTTCCACCATGACCACGTCCATTCCCGGGATTTTATCAGCTGGTCAGAGCATGGGGAGGACAGAATGGTGCCATAAGCTTGGGCGCTGCCCCCAGGAGTCACCCTTCTCCAAATGCAGAGGCAGCCACAGTAAGAATGCAGCACACACACAAAACTCCTTCATTTCCTTGAAACTTGGCCAGTTCCAGGTCTCGTCCAGTTCCCTCACCCAGAGGCAGAAAAAATAAACACAACTGCCTCAACGTGGCATGGGGTGGGTGGGTGGGTAGGTATTGTGTTATCCTTTATGATGCCTCAGCAGTTCCCACCTACTGGAGGGGACAGAGTAGCACCAATCAGGGGAAGTCTCCCCGGACAGTGGCGGGTGGTGGCAAGGGCTGAGGAGGTCCTGTTATCAGACTGCTCAGGACTCACTCTACTGGGGACAGGGCGGCTGGACTCCGTGCTTTCACATTATGTGGCTTGAGGCCAGCTGTGATATTTACAATCAGTGTGCCCTGGGAAAGGCCCTGCTCCCCAACCCCTCACCCTAGACCGAGGCTGAGAATTCACAGGAAGGAGAGAAGGGTAAGCTGCAGCAGGCTGGAGCTCTGGCAGAGCTTGTGCAAAATCCTGGCATTCCCTCCTGAACACAGAGAAGACCCCGACTCCAGTCTCTGGCCCAAGCCCAGCCTAACTGAGCATTCCTTTTGTTGGGGAATAATTTGCCAGGTGATGTTATCCAAAACACACCAGTTAAGAATTCCTTAAGTTGTTAGGATCTGAAAGCAAACTAGTTCCTTTATCAAGTCTCCAATGACAAGTCTATTTAAACATGAGACACTGGACACAGTTGGGTGGGCCCTTTTGGTGCCCCACCCAGATCCCCTTTACCTGTGGTTGTGCCCATCCTTCAGCTGCTATGAACTCACAGCTGACATGCTTCCTCTGGACAACTGCCTTGACTGATGGATGCGTCCCCACCCCAGATTCTCCACAGTCAACAGCTGATGAACACAGTGCCATGAAGGCCCCGTCTTTATCACAGTCAGAGCCCTCTCTGGTGGAACACCATCCTGCAGAGCTCCATGAGACCAGCTGAGACTGCATCCTTGCTTAGTGACTTCCCCTGCCCAATCCTGCTTCCCTCCCACTCCCTTCTCCTGAGAGCTCTCCTCTGCTAAAATCCATGCCTCAGAATCCCTGTTCCGGGTTCTGCTTCTAGGGAACTAAACAAAATACGGATATTACTTATACCATGGTTAGTTTTCCTGAATAGAAACTGCACCTATTTTAGGTGTGTACAAAGATTTGGGGGTGGAAAAGATGAAGAAATTAACTAAGGGATGGTGGAGGTATCTGGGGAAGAGATGAGGCTCAAATGCAAAAGCAATGTAGTTACCTCATATCCATAGACTGAACTTCTTCAGTTGAATCATCCAGACTGTTTGATTTCCCATCAAGGGCATCCAGATGAACAAGTCCCTCAACTGGTTTAAGTTCATCAGTGAAAACATCTTGAGGGAAAGTTTCTGGGGCAGCATGTTCCACAACATTTACTTCCTGGCAGGTGTTCAATACACTGATTTCTGATAGAGAACACAAAGTCATTCCATTAATCATAAAATATACCAATGAAATAACATGGGGAATATCTGTGTAGGCAATTAATCCTCTGCTTTACCAATGACACAACATCTTTTGTAAAAAGAATCCCAGGCAGTCACCTTCATACCAGGAAGAGAAGACAAATGACATCATCTGTGTTTGTGCAGGGCTCATGGCCCACTCTCCCCACTTCATGGATCACAGCTCTGTTGTGGTGAAGGGGCTTGTGTAACTCAATGAAGCCATGAGCTATGCCATGCAGGGCCACTCAAGACGGACAGATCATAGTGGGGAGTTCTGACAAAACATGGTCCACTGAAGGAGGAAATGGCAACTCACTCCAGTATTCTGCCTTGAAAACCACATGGACAGTATGAAAAGGCAAAAAGATATGACAGCAGGAGATGAGTCCCTCAGGTCAGAAGGTGTCCAATATGCTACTGGGGAAGAGTGGAGGGCAATTACTAACAGCTCCAGGAAAAATGGAGCAACTGGGCCAAAGCAGGAACAATGCTCAGCTGTGGATGTGTCTGGTGGTGCAAGTTAAGTCCAATGCTTTAAAGAACAATATCATATGGGAACCTGGAATGTTAGGCCCATGAATCAAGGTAAATCGGATGTGCTCAAGCAGGAGATGGCAAGACTGAACATCAACATCTTAGGAATCAGGGAACTAAATGGACGGGAATGGCAAATTTAATTCATTATATTTACTACTGTGGGCAAGAATTCCTTAGAAGAAATGAAAGAGTGCTCACAGTCAACAATGCAGTCCTAAATGCAGTACTTGGGTGCAATCTCAAAAGTGACAGAATAAGCTAGTCTCGTTTCCATGGCAAATGATTCAACATCACAGTAATCTGAGTTTATGCTCCAATCACTGATGCTGAACAAGCTTAAGTTGACCAGTTCTATGAAGATCTACAATACATTCTAGGACTAACACCAAAAAAATATTTCCTTTTCATCGTAGGGGATGGGGATGCAAAAGTAGGAAGTCAAGAGATACCCAGAATAACAGGTAAGTTTGGTCTTAAAGAGTACAAAATAAAGCAGGGCAAAAGCTAACAGAGTTTTGTCATGAGAACACGCTGGTCATAGCAAACACACTCTTCCAACAACCCAACTCTATACACATGGACATCTCCAGATGTCAATACCAAAATTGGATTGACTATGTTCTTTGCAGCTGCTGAAGATGGAGAAGCTCTATACAGGCAGCAAAAAACAAGACCAGGAGTTGACTGTGGCTCAGATCATGGGCTCCTTATTATAAAATTCAGGCTCAAAGTAAAGAAAGTAGGGGAAACCACTAGGCCATTTAGGTATTTGACCTAAGTCAAATCCCTTATGATTACACAGGGGAGGTGACAAATAGATTCAATGGATTAGATTTGGTAGACAGAGTGCTTGGAGAACTATGGATAGAAGTTCGTAATATTGTACAGGAGGTGGTGACCAAAACCATCCCCCCCAAAAAGTAATACAAGAAAGGTCAAGTGGTTGTCTGAGAAGGCTTTACAAATAGCTGAGAAAAGAAGAGAAGGAAAGCCAAGGGAGAACGGGAAAGATACACCTAAATGAATGCAGAGTTCCAGGGAATAGCAAGGAGAGATAAGAAGGTTTTCTTAAATGAGCAATACAAAAGAGTGAAAACAACAGAATGGGAGAAACTAGAGATATCTTTAAGAAAACTGGAGATATCAAGGGAACACTTCATGCAAGGATGTGCATGATAAAGGGCAGAAACAGTAAGGACCTAACAGAAGCAGAAGAGATTCAGAAGTGGCAAGAATAGACAGAATAACTATGTAAGCAAGGTCTTAATGACCCAGATAACCACAATAGTGCAGTCACTCATCTAGAGCCAGACATCCTGGAATGTAAAGTCAAGTGGGCCTTAGGAAACATTACTATGAACAAAGCTAGTGGAGGTGATGTAATTCCAATGAGCTATTTCAAATCCTAAAAGATGATGCTGTTAAAGTGCTGCACTCAATATGTCAGTAAATTTGGAAAACTCAGCAGTGGCCACAAGATTGGAAAAGAGGAGTTTTCATTCCCCAAAGAAGGGCAATGCCAAAGAATGTTCAACTACTGTATAATTGCATTTGTTTCACATGTTTGGAATATTATGCTCAAAATCCTTCAAATTAGGCTTCAGCAGTACATGAACTGAGAACTTCCAGATGTACAAGCTGAGTTTCGAAGAGGCAGAAAAACCTGAGATCAAAATGCCAACATTCGTTCGATCATGGAGAAAGCAACGGAATGCCAGAACAACATCTACTTCTGCTTCACTGACTATGCTAAAGCCTTTGACTGTGTGGATCACAACAATCTGTGGAAAATTCTTGCTTGTTGCTTGTTGGAAAGAAAGCTATGACAAACCTAGACAGTATGTTAAAAAGAACAGACATCACTTTGCCAACAAAGGTCCATCTAGTCAAAGCTGTGGTTTTTCCAGTAGTCATGGATTGATGTGAGAGTTGGACCATAAAAATGGCTGAGCACCAAAGAATTGGTGCTTTTGAATTGTGAAGCTGGAGAAGACTCTTGAGAGCTCCTTGGAGTGTAAAATCTGCCAGTCCTAAAGGAAATCAATCATCCCTGAATATTCATTGGAAGGACTGATGCTGAAGCTGAATCTCCAATACTTTGGCCACCTGATGTGAAGAGCCGACCCACTGGAAAGGACCCTGATGATGGGAAAATTTGAAGGCAAAAGGAGAAGAGGGTGGCAGAAGATGAAATCATTAGATATCATCACTGACTCAATGGGCATGAATTTGAGCAAACTCCAGGAAATAGTGGAAGACAGAGGAGTCTGGCATGTTACAGTCCGTGGGGTTGCAACATCGGACACAACTTAGTGACTGAACAACAACATGACTCACCCAGGAAACTTGATGTCATATTCTGTTCAGGTCCCCAGGCTCTTGAGCCACAAGGCAAAAGAGAAATGTGAAGAGTGACTCTGAGATGGACATATGTTTTCTGACTCTGGCCGCCATGAAACCTGAGGAGCTTTAAGAATCCATGACAGAAAAGAGCTGGACTATACAGAAGTCTCGAAGGCAGGAGAAACTGCTGTAGAACAGAGTCAGTTCTTAACAGAACGTGACCAGCAATTAAGCCCTCTAGAAAGCAGCCTAGACAGCAGATGACCCGGCTCTGGTGCTGGGGTTATTAGAGTAACTGAGGGGCCTACTGGTTTTCAAGTGGACCTGTAGAGATGGGAACTCCCCCCGGAGTGGGGTGGTAGGGAGAAGTACATGGGCTCCTGGCAGTGACAACGCTCTCTAGACTCATAGGTGCTATTTCCCTACAAGGAACACCGTGAGCCCTCACTTTCTGAAATGAAGAACCCAAGAACCAGATCCCACACTCACCTATTTTGTTAGGGACCACGGGTTCTGCCTTATTTTCCACACACAGAGCAGACTGAAGCTCCACTTTTGGGTTTTCTTTCTGAAAACACACAGAGGGAAGGTAGGCTTTATGTACCAAGACAAATGCTTTTGAAAAGCATCAGGGGATATTTGGAACCATGCTGAGCCATCTGTCTGTTCCATGGTAATTCTTTGAATTTTCTGAGTGTATTATAAATCAGCTGTGTTTCCCATAGTAATATGCCACCATTCTCTTTTTTTTATCTGTGGACTACAGTGCTTCTCCCTGCATCCCTACCTCCACTTCTCCAAGGAAATTTTTATTACCACCCCATCCCAGAAACTCCTCTCTTAGACTCCTCTTTCCTTTTAGACACCAACAGTCTTCTTAATCTAGCCAGGAACAAAGCAGGAAGAACCTATTTTTTTCCTGGCTTATGCTCTCTGAGACCTACAACATCACTGAATATATTCTACTATTATGTTCTTCTCAGTACATGAATTATTAAAATGGCATTCTGAATGCCTACCTTCACTTCCAAAGATGCATCACTCTTTCTTGTTCTCTTCATAATTTCATCTATTCTCTGGAAATCAAAAAGAAACAGGTAAGAGGACTACACCAAAAAAGATGTCCTTTTCATCACAGGGGACTGGAATGCAAAAGAAGGAAGTCAAGAGATACCTGGAATAACAAATAACTTTGGCCTTGGAAAACAAAATGAAGCAGGGCAAGGGCTAATAGAGTTCTGCCAAGAGAACGCACTGGTCATAGCAAGCACCCTCTTCCAACAACACAAGAGACGACTCTACACATGGACATCACCAGATAAGTCAATATCAAAATCAGATTGATTTTATTATTTGCATTGAAGATGGAGAAGCTCTATACAGTTAGCAAAAACAAGACTGGGAGCTGACTGTGGCTCAGATCATGAACTCCTTATTACAAAATTCAGACTTAAATTGAAGAAAGTAGGGAAAACCACTAGGCCATTCTGGTATAACCTAAATCAAATCCCTTATGATTATACAGTGGAAGTGACAAATAGATNTGTCAGACTCTTTGCAACCCCATGGATTGTAGACCTCCAGGCTCCTGTCCATGGGATTTCCCAGGCAAGAATACTGTAATGGGTTGTCATTTTCTTCTCCAGGGGATCTTCCTGACCCAGGCATCAAAGACACACCTCCTGCATGGCAGGAGAGTTCTTCACCACTGAGCCACCAGGGAAGTTATTCTAGCAGTAGAATGTGCTTATAAATGATTCAGTCTGAAATACTTAGTCCTTAACCTGCAGAAGTGGCAGACTATTAGAAAGGTAAAATGCTTTTGGTGAGTAGGAAAATGCTTTCCTTCTTCATGTGGACATAGACATTAAAGGAGGTGGAAGGAGAACATGTTTATGGTGGGAAGATTGTTGGAACACAAACACTGAACAGAGTAGAGACTGGCCCCCTGTCGAGTGTTTCAGTTTTCACTACTTAGAAGACTTTGGATTGACCTACATGGAGTTTCCTTCATCTTGGCAAGCAGAGTGCCAAATTCTGTAACTAATACAGAGATGTATCTGTACAACATACCACCATTTTATTATCCAGGTAGGCATCATGCAATGCTTAGCTCAGCTATTTGTACCTGATTATGCACACCAGAACAGTCCAGAGAGTTGAGAAATATTTCATTAAGTGCCCCCACTTAAAACAATAATCTTTTTTCTAAAAAGGTTAATACATAATATCTTTTTTCATTTAATGCATTTACATTTTGAATTCATTAGAGCCCATAAACTTGTGGTCAGTTTGCAAACAGTCTTCTAGAATCTAATTTATTGTTTTAGAAATGTGAATACATAGCTTTATGTTCTTTTGCATGAAAATATGCAAAATTGTGACTGTGAAAAATCACACATTTTCTGAGACAAAATAAACTCTGGATACAGAACACAATGTTGGTATGTATCACTAATTGACTATATATTGGTAGAATCATTGTCTATGATATTGTCTGAAATCCCTTTCAAATTTTAGTGACTTTTGGTTGGATGCATGAGACAAGTGCTCAGGGCTGGTGCACTGGGAAGACCTAGTGGGGAGGGAGGCGGGAGTGGGGATCAGGATGGGGAACACATGTAAATCCATGGCTGATTCATGTCAGTGCATGGCAAAAACCACTACAATATTGTAAACTAATTAGCTTCCAACTAATAAAAATAAATGGGGAGAAAAAAAACTAAGATCATGGCATCAGGTCCCACCACTTCATGGCAAATAGATGGGAAACAATGGAAACAGTGACAGACTTTATTTTCTTGGGCACCAAAATCACTGTGGATGGTTACTGCAGCCATGAAATTAAGAGATACTTGCTCCTTGGAAGGAAAACTATGACAAACCTAGACAGTGTATTAAAAAGTAGAGAAAAAAAAAGTAGAGACATAACTTTGTTTAAAGGTCCATATAGTCAAAGCTATGGTTCTTCCAGTAGTCATGTATGGATGTGAGAGTTGGACCATATAAACAAGACTGAGTGCCGAAGAATTGATTTTGAACTGTGGTGTTGGAGAAGACTCTTGAGAGTCCCTTGGACTGCAAGGAGATTCAACCAGTCCATCCTAAAGGAAATCAGTCCTGAATATCCATTAGAAGGATTGATGCTGAAGCTCCAATATCTTGGCCACCTGATGAGAAGAGCCTACTCATTAGAAAAGACCCTGATGCTAGGAAAGACTGAAGGTAGAAGGAGAAGGGCATGACAGAGGATGAGATGGTTAGATGGCATCACCAACTCAATGGACGAGTTTGCTCAAGCTCTAGGAGATGATAAAGGACAGAGAAGCCTGGTATGCTGCAGTCCACGAGGTTGCAGAGTCAGACACGACTGAGTGACTGAACAACAACAAAGAGGACTACAAGACCGCAAGCAGATGCAAGTATCTGGGTCTGTATGCAATTTCACATTTCTCAGAGAACTCATAAAAGAGAAATCTTAGCACAGGATAATGTGTATAGAAAGTGCTTCCATTGGTTTTATAGATAAATACCTCTGCCATATGAACAAGGTCAAAAGCTTAAGAAGTGAACTAGTAAGTATCTAGAATCAATCATTTATATCCCATCTTTCTCCTTCCTCTCTTTAGCTAGAATTCAACAAATCACTACCTGTCATTCAAGAGGACCACCCAACAGAAACCCTAGCTGAAGAGCAGGAGAGGAGGCCACAAACCGGATACCACCTTAAACCCAACTTCACCCATAATTACATTAAATGTAAATGGTCTAAACATATCAATGAAAAAACAGAAACTGTCAAACTTGACTTAAATAACAAATCCTGACTCTATGCTGTTTATAGGTGTGTGTGCCCAGTCATGTTCGACTCTGCAAACCCAAGGACTGTAGCCCACCAGGCTCTTCCATCCATGGAATTTTCCAGGCAAGAATACTGCAGTGGGTTGTCACTGCCTTCTCCAATGTTGTTTATAAGGGAAACATTTTATAAGAACACACGTAGGTTCAAAGTAAAAAAATTCATCATGCAGGTGCTAATCATAAAAAGATTGACAAAGTAGAATTTAAGACAAAAAGTATTACTAGAGATAAAGAAGGAATATTTCATAATGATATAAGGGTCAATTCAACAGGAAAACTTAATAACTTGAAATATAAATTCACCTAACAGTAGAGCTTCAAAATATATGAAAACAAAAATGTATAGAACTGGAAGGAGTAATGCACAAATCCATAATCACAGATGACATTTTCAACACCCATCTCTCAGTAAATGAAAGAACAAGATGACAGAAAACTCATAAAGATACAGAAGATTTGAATAGTATGATCAATGAATTCAACCTAAATAGCAATTCTAAGAGCACTGTACTCAACAACTGCAGAACATAACTAGACTCCCTTCCTGTCCCTGCCTCATCCTAAGTATGCCTAATCCCTTAGCCCTCACCTTCTTCCTCTCCAGTCGCTCCTGCTCCATCTGTAGCATGATCTGTTCTCTTTTCAGACGCATTTGTTTAGCTGCCTCCTGGGCCTTTGCTTCTGCTGCTTCCTTCTGGTAGAAACATAGAAACCAAGGTATAGGCAATGCTAAGCTTAAGAAAACACTAGTTAATTCTCTGGGGTTTGCACTTGTTCCTCCATCTCATCATCTACCCAAAGTGGGTGCTGCTCCAATATTCAATGTGGATTTTTACAGCCTGCCCTATGACACAGCAGACATGGTTGGGTCTCACTCATACAACCTCAGTCCACCATGCAAATCACCTGCAGACACTCTGCATACAAGGTCAAGGTCTTTTTGTGTCTGAGGGCAGTCTCTGACTGTGAAGTATGCATGTGGCTAGGAGTTTCAGGAAGTTAATTCCTCAAAGTTACTTTCAGCCACAAGGGGCAGGAGCTGGAAGATAAATAATCTAGTTTCCTCATCCCTCCAAAAGGTAATTCTAAGGCATATTCCATAGTCTCCTAGAGTTCCACAGCAAACAAGTTCCAGATGCCCACAGTAACCCAGTCACCAGCGTGCTTACATTGGCTATCTTCTCACTCCCCTACCAGCTTCCTAGGATCATCTCCCAAATAAACTGCTGACACTCAAATTCTTATCCAGGGTCTGCCTTTGGGAGAACCAAAACTGACATATAACAAACATTGCCACTTCACTTGTGTTGCCCAAAGTAACTCAAATCTATTAACTAGTTCAGTTAAAGAAAATGCTTCAACATTGTTAAGTCATTCAAATTTAACTAATTTTACCTAATACTAAGGCCCGTAAGGAAGTCTATATAAAGACTTGCACAGTACCTGCTTTACAATCATGGCTTTTTCCTGCTTTTCTTTTTCTTGTTTTTCCTTTTCTTGCTCTTCTTTCAACAGCAGTGCCTCCTTGGCCTTCCGCTTTGCCTCCTCTGCCACCTTCCTTTTCTCTTCCTCCTCTCGCTGCTTCTTTTCCTCTTCCTGTTTACGGGCTTCCTCTAGGCGAAGTCTTTCTTCCTCTGCCTTTCTTTTCAATTCCTCTCTCTCCAGTCTTTTGAGAATAGAACTATTGTTACAAGACAATGATGACATGCCCAAAAGACAAACCACCAAGAACTCTGTGCTAACAGTAGAGCATAATGTATGCGTGACTCGGTCATAGACACATGCATGTGAATTACCATCCACTTAAGAAAATAACTCATCCTTCCCAGAAAGCCACTCCAGTCCATACAGTTACCCAAAAAATATTAACCAGGATTGACTTCAAATTCTGTGATACTGAGAGTACTAATGTATTGATTTGTGAAAGCCTATAATGAAGAGACAGATGTTCCCTAGTCAATTTACAAATGATCACAGCCCCATCATTCTTATTCAATGACAATTGTTTAAAAACTGAGAATAAATATTTAAAACCAACTTAAGCTAGAAAAAAAACTAGAAATGTTTCAATGGCTACATCTGTGCCAGACAGTAAATTAAGAACAGTGACTAGGAGGTCAAAAAGTTCACTTTGATTCTAATTAGTATGTGACTTCTGAAGTAGCAAATGGAAGGAAATGCTCAACATAAACCTGACATTTAATACAGAAATTAGAGCATTTATTTTCCATTTATTTTGTCATTCTTAAAAAAAACTAAGCTTTTATTCTTTGCTAAATGAAAATTAACTGGCATTTAGACATTTTTAACCCACAGATGAATGGTTGGTGATGTAACAATAAAGAGATCTAAGCAGTGAGGGAAAATTCTGTATAGTCTTAAGTGCTTATTTTTACATTTCTAACGTTCTTCCTGCTCACGTGTCATTTTCCTCATCTATGAAAAACTAGGTAACTATACTCATTTTGCAGTCAATTACTGACTGGCAATGTGCCACATGGGCAAGACCAAGACTGCAATGTGACTGTGCCACCTGCTGTGTGACCCTTCCTAGGAAAACCACTCAACATTTATGATGCCCATTCAAAACAATAGGAATAGCAACTTACCAGTGATACCTGCTTCCAAATAAAGATAATTTCTATAAATCTGTATGTTTTTTAGAAATAACCTCTCTTTGGAAGCATGTAACACTGACTTACTTGGGTGCTGGTATGTTCCTATAAAAGATCAAGACTTATAAAGAACACCCTTGCATCCTAATGGTTGGCTTTAGAAATCACAAAAAGCTGCAGTGTCTAAAAGCTAGAGCAACTGAAATTATTAACAAATATTCTGGAGAACTTTGGAGAAGAGCATTATGGGGCCTATTCAGAAAGAAACTCACCAGTTCTTAGATTCCACAATGAAAGACTAGGATGCCCAACACAGGATTATAAAAACCAGATGTATCCATAACAAAATCTCTCCCAAGGTTAATCAGAGCACTATTTCAGTTTTTCTCTCTCTTTTAAAGAGCCAGTTGTGACTGTCTCAGAGAAGTTAATACACAAAGGATATGTTGTATATAAATTAACACACAAGCTACTTCATCCTTCTCTTCATCTTCTGGATCTGAAAAGTCACTGTTTCTTCCCTTTTACCATGAGGACTTCTGGCACCAAGGTGCTAGATGCATACCCATGAGTAAGTAACACATTCTCTTAGCCCCTAGGTCTCCATAATCATCCTCATCACTCAGAACACAAATTCCTCCCCAAAGGCCCATCAACCCCTAAAATTCCCTCCATTTAACCACACTCTGCTTCCCCCAAAATAGGGAAGAACTGGCTTCTCCTGTGTGAAACCAAGAATCTCAAAATCCTCTGCAAGAATAAACATTCTTTCTCTCCCTGTTTAATGACTCAGAGAGAACATGGCTGTGGTCATTTCTCCAGCACCCCTCTGCTACAGGCAGCCCCACCCCGCCACTCTTGCCAGCATTACTGGGTTTCCTCCAGAGTTCACCAGACCCACATGTAGTTCTGTCACCCTCTCCCATCCTTGTTCCTGTCACCCATGCCAAACCCTCCCCACTTCCTCACCAGGTAGCAAGTACCAGAAAACTCTGCATTGCAGTCACTATTCAGTGGATGCATCCCTTATCCCCAGCCACTGGGGAGGGTCTTCTGTATAAGGTCTCCCATTTCTCAATAAGGACTCCCATGTCTCAGCCCTCAGCCCCCTCTCAACCCACCCTCTCACATTTGCACCACATCCTTGCTACATGTTCAGTCTCAACTCAATCTCTAGACTACTATGTGGGTTTCACTATTCTCTCTTCCTTACATGCTTAAAAGTTTTCATTTAAAAAAGCTAAACCTTCAATGCCCTAACCTTCACCTTTCTTGATCTGCTCTCAGCTGTCACCCACCACCTTCTCTCCTGACCAGCCCTGGGCAGTGCTGTGCATCTGCTCCCTCTTCTCTCAGGGTCCCCAGGCTGCTCAGCCACTCCAGAGCATCTGTGGGAGGGCATGGGGGCCACTCTGGACCCTCCTGGGTTGTCAACACTGGTTACAGTAAGGCCCACACAAGGCTGACTTGTCATCTCTCCCTGGGCCTCAGCCATCACACTGGCCACTCATCCTCAGCTCCCAGATCCTAGGGGATCAGTCTTCCACATACTCCTTATTTGATTTTACTTGATGGCATCATCAACCACTTTATAGAGAAGACTGGTGCCACCTAATCTGAGCTTCCTTGAACTTCATTCCTCTATGGCACTCCTGCTCAGAAAATGTCCTTTTTTTCTGCTTAGATGCAAAGGATTACACATGCCACCACTCACGCTATTAATTCCACATCTTCCTGCACCTAAATACCTTCTACTGTCTCCCTCTCTTCCTTTCATTGTTTCCTTCTTCCACACCGACCTTCCCACAGTTTGCAAAACACTCAGGTCTCCTGAACAACTCTCCTCGGTGACCTCTCCCTTGCCTTCCACTGACATTCATGGCCTCCACCCTCTCACCTCTGTCAAGCTACTCTTGTCTCCACCCTGCTCCATTTCTCCAGCTCTGACCCTGACAGCCCACCACCCAGAGGCTCAGCCGACAAGCTGCCAGGGCTGCTAGGTGCCAGGACCTCTGCTGGCATCACTGATCCAGCTGACTCTTGCATGGACACAGAGCTGCAGCCTGGCCGTGTGACCCTGGCAGGGGCTGTCTAACTCATCCACTTGGGCCCTCAGCAGCTATTTTAACTTCTTAACATGACTTGTTTTGGAATCCCAGTGAGATTTCTTTGCTTCTAGTTTCTGGCACTGCCTTCCCACTTTTTTGGCACAACTTCAAGAATCCTGATGTACACCTTGGGCCATTCATGAGCCCAGGGGCTGTGCCTGTTCTAATGCTCCCAGCAGAGCCCTACGGTCACTGCTAACAGGGACTGGACCAGTGTGTGTTCTCCCAGGCCCAGCTGTCTGAATACCCTGTCAGTCCTTCTGCTCTGAGCAGACTCATCTCTAACTTGGATGGCGTCTCCCTCACCAGTTTGTGACAATGATTGGGTTTCCACAGTTTGGCGCAAGTATCTTTAATTTTCTCTATATTCTCTCATCTGGCAACTACATTTCTGTGGCTTCGACTACTGACTCTAAGCACAAAACAGGCATGAGGATGATCTTAATCCAGGAGCTGTCCGCTGTGTTCCAGCCCTTAGTTTTCCAGTACTGTACTTTCTCACTCCCACGTGGTACTAGCAAAGCTTCATATTCTGGTAAGAGGAGAGAAAATTGGTCTTGGGTCAAGAGTACTGCCCTCATTTTCACCTAAACCCTAGGCTTCAATGTCATTTCTAATCACCTGGATATTTTGCAGGCACCTTAAGCTTGCTTTATCTGAAATAAAATGGATTGTTTTACCCCCTAAAATCAATTCCTTCTATCCTTCATCTGTCATTGGGTGTCATCTGTCATCTGCCCCCTAAGTCCTTAGAATCAAACCTTAGCATCGACTATGAATCGGCCCATTTCTGCTTAAGTCGTCCTCACTCCTCCGGCTCCACCACACAAGCACAGTCTTCTCAACCCATAACCGCCCCGGCTTCTCAGCTGTGTGTGTCTTTCTCCTCTCTACCTTCCCTGTACGTTTACTGAGAACCAGCACCAGTGAGCCAGAAACTGCATCCCAGCCTTTTAAGGTGCTTGGTGCAGGAAGCGTTCCTGTGGACTAATGGAGCAGGCTATGTGACCAGGTGAGCAGCTCGGCTGGGGGGCTGAAGAGTGGGAGAGATCTGCTTTCTCCCAGGGACAGGGCTGGAAAGGGTGCAGAGGTGGAGCAAGGCTTGACCTGATGGAGAACAGAAAATATGTCGGTGAGAAGGAGCCCGAGGCTGCAGGAGGCAGAGTGAAAGCAGACGTGGAGGCGTGGAGCCATGTGCTAGAGGTGGAGGAGTGAGTGGGGTCCAGCTCATGGCCGGCCATGAAGGTCCATTGATGGGTTTGGACGGCACCTGTGGACAGAGGAGTCACTAGACTGTTGAAGGACAGGAACAGGACAGTGTCACTTATTTGAGAAGAGGTGTTGGGGACATAGTGTGGACAGTAGATGAGTTCTGGGAGACCTACAATAGAGATCTGGGCGCATGTACAGACACAGCTCCAGTGAGAGATCACAGGGGGCCAGAGCTCAGGAGGAGAGGAGGGCAGAAGGGCCTGGAGGGAAGAGAGATGAAGAGATATACTAGAGGCAGCTGAGACAGACCTGACAGGGGATGGGTGCTAAGGAAGGAGAGAGGAGAATTCAGAGCTGGCTCTGACACTTCTGATGCAGGTGCCTGGGGAGGTGGAGGACAGAGCTTGTGAAAGGGAAAGGAAGACTGGGAGAAAGTAAGGTCTATTTTGGAAATGCTCAATTTGAGGTACATGTGGGATACACTGAAAGAAAGATATAAAGCAGTTGGACATAGTGCCTCTAATAGTGCTATCCAATAGAAACTTGTGGTGAGGGAAATGTTCCAGAGATTGGTGCTATGCAATATAGCAGTCACTAGCCATGTAGCTGCTGAGCACTTGAACTGTGGCTGTTGGGCTAAGGAACTCAATGGGACTCCAGTTGAGTGTACTTCCCTGTCGGGGCCGCCTGGGGCTAGAGGTGGTGCTACTGGGCAGCACAAGTTCAGGCAGCATCAATACCCATGTGGATTCAGTGCCTCCCTTGTACCAGAATGCACAGAGGGTTTACAGAGCAAGATGAAATTGGATTCAGAAACAGATGGTAAAACAAGGCAAAGAAAAGGTGAGGGTAGAAAGAGAGATGAGAGCAGAGTTGGGTTAGCACCCCAAATGCTGAGCATGAGGATGCTGAATGAAATGTGAGCCCCAAACACTGGAAGCCAGAGGACACCGGCAGCATGACGAGGGCATGGGGAAGGACAGGAGGAAGCAGTGCTGCTCAGGAAGGGCTTCTCAGGTGAAGCTGGCCAAAGAGTAGGGGCTGGGGGGCGGGGGACAGAGGAGAATGAGGAGAGGGCAGAGAAGCAAGACCAATGAAGAAATGATTAGGAATCTGGCAATTAGGAAGAACTGTGAGTGTGAGGTTTGAAGACTCTGAGGGTGAGTAGAGAAAATAAACTCAGGGAGTACAGTTGATTTTTTGAGGAGCCGTGCTGTGAAGGAAATGCAGGAGGGTGCTGGCTGGAAGGCAGATGGCTGCACCTACCCCAGAACAAGCTACAGGCATGCAACGCATCTGCTCAGGGCCTGCACAGGCCCTGGCCTATCACTGGAGGTCCTGCAACTCAGCTTCCTCTCCTGGGACCTCCCTTCACATACCCTGTGGTCCACGCAACCCAGCCCAAGCACACTACTCAACAAAAAGACCTGCTGCTGTTGCCCAAAAGCTTTGAGGTGGGAAAATCATCAGAAAACTCCAGAATTTGAAGAAGGGACCAGTCAAGATCTTCCCCCACCACCCTTAAAAAAAATAAATCAGCAAAAGCATAATGAGAGACCATGAAAGACTCGTCAAGGTCGCTTACAGATCAAGAGTATTCTATCACTCTAAACTCAGTGCCAGTAGTGAAGTACTACAGCATGGTGGGCTTCCTGTTATGTTAATTCTTTCAATAGCAGTGGACTGCACTCTGTGACTATCCTAAGAGTTTCCTATATCAACTAATGATAAAATCTACCTTGTCCTTCAACATGCATTTCTCTCTGAATACTAGCACTAGAAAAGACAGACCAAGTACTCCAGGGATAAATGAAGTGGTTCTCAAACTCTGGTGAAATACTGAGGCAGGACACAGCCTGGCCTGTGGATTTTTACTGCACCCCTTAACAGACTGTGATACCCTCCAAAGTTTAGGGACCACTGCCAAGACATCTTCTGTCCTGCTCCAGGATAGAGTCCCTGTAACCTTGTGTCTCATGGACTATGAGGGTGGCTTCTGCCCCATCAACAGGTGTCTGCTCAACCCTCCTCTCTCTTATCTGGGGATGCGAGTTAGGATAACTGGAGGTGGGGGGGGGGAGGGGGACACAATTTAGGAAGCAGAATCAAGATGTTTACATCTTGGCATCTCCAGTCTTTTCAAGGAGAATCTCATCCTATAAACAAAACTCAGACTCTACTGATAGTTCTGCGAGGCCTGGCTGGTGCTAGAGTCCAGGCAGAGAACAGGGGCTGTCTGTAACATTGAGATTCAGGAGCTGGGCATTTACAGTGGTCTGAAAAGGTCTGAGCACCACCCATACTTGTCTTGTTTTTCCTTCTCCAGACGTTCCTGCTCCTCCTGTTCCTTCTGCAGCCGGGCCTGTCGTCTCTTTTCAGACAGGATCTTTGTGGCCTCTCCTGCATCAGTGGTGCCCGCTGTGGACTTCCCTGAGGCTGCTTCAGAGGAAAAGATCAAGGGAAATGAAATCATGACTGCACTCACATGGCAGCTGCCACTTAGAATTGAAAAAGCCAACCCAGTGGGTGATGGGAAATGCTGCCGGGACCAGCACAATCAGCCGCCGAGCAGAGGCTGCCATGGGCTGGCTGGGACCCTGGATGCATTCCACCGTGAAGGGCAGTGGAAAGGCGAGGAGGAGAGATGGGTCACCAGCAAGCCCCAGGGCAGCCTCCACCACTGCACCTGTTTGGGTGAACTCACCATGGCTGTCACAGAAGCTTAGAGAACTACAGGGAGCCCCTCTCTGTGGGAAGGGCATAACCTGACTGAACATAGCTCAGCACCCCCCGGGGTTTCCACAGCCAGAAGCAGTGTTAGTCCCTCGGTCTCCTCTGCCAGGAGACACTTGGGAGAGCAAGGGGAAGGACTGGGCAATGTGCCAGCCGAGAAAGCAGCACCAGGGCATGGAGTCGTCTCTGGGAAAAATCCCCGTCTTTCCCCCAAACCCGAGGTTCCTGTGGGGATGGACTCAGTAGAAGAACCAGTTGGGCAAGGAGGGCCTACCTCTGCTGCTCTTGGCCTTCCCTGCCATGGCCTCGTGCTTCTCGTGCTTCTCAGTGGCCTGCCTGTCTGCCACGTGCTTCTCTGGGGCCTCTTCCTTGGGTGAGCTGGCTGCCTCCTGAGTCAGGGTACCTTCCTTCTCCTTGTTGCTCTTCTCTTTGTCTGCTTTCTTCTTGGGTGTCTCCTGGCCAGAAAAGCTGGGGAGGCGGTACTTCATCGGAGACCCTGGGTATGGCGGCTTTGTGTTCTTTGGAGATTGTGGATATGCTTTTGAAGTTGCCCTGGAAAACCGAAACCACACCATAAGATGATTACTGGGCCTGACCACAGAACCCTCTGTTCCGAAGACATCTGATTCCAAAAAGCTGAACAATTTCATCCTTTAAGAGGAACAAATGTAAGGAGGAGCACACACTCAGCAGTCCCTGAAGTACGATCACCCTAACAGGAATGTATGGTACCTATAAGACATCCCCGACGGAAGGGACAAAGTTTTAGGAAGCCCAGCTGATGACATCATGTCCTGATTTCACTTAAGTTTGATGACAACATGAGAATAAAGTGTTAGGCATTTCCCCACCTCCTTTTTTAGATGAACACCAAGGCTGGATTTGGCTTCAGCATATGGCAATGAATGAGCCCAGTCCTATTTTTTTCTAATTATGGCAAAATACACACAACATGAACTGTACCATCTTAACCACTTTAAAGTGTACAGTTCAGTGGCATTAAGTCCATTCACACTATAGTGCAACCATCCCTGCACTGTTCACCTCCATAACGCTGTACTTTTTAAACACTAACTCCATATTCTCACCTCTCTCCAGCCCCTGGGAAACCACTTTATACTTTCTGTCTCCAGCAATTTGACTATTCCATGTACCTCACAGAAGTGGAATCATACAGTAAAAAAAAAAATCACGTTTGCTGAGGTATAACTGACATTTGGTTCCTTTTCAAGTTCTGAGGAACAAAGTCAATGAAGAGGTGGGGAGAGGGAGTGTCTTTTTCAAGGTTCTCAAGGTTTAAAAGAATCTCTCCAGCTACTGGGAAGATGTAAAATGTGAGAACAAGCCCATATCCACCCAGGGAAATATAGTTTTGTTAAAATACAGGACCTTGCCTTACATCTGTTGGAAGAAGGTCCATTACAGGTGTCCTAGCCAAGTCTGGCTCCTGGTGAGCTCTGGTTGCTGATGATATGGGTAACAACCTAGATTCAGTTGCTGAGTATACCCAGAAGTTCACATATACTGGGGTGACATTTGTACAGAGTACTTTTAGGAAGAACATAAAGTAGTCAGCTGACAAATTACAAGTTGTCACTCTCAATCCTGTAGGAGGTTGAACATGAAACTGCTAATATTCAACCATTGTGACCTATAAAAATGGCAAGTCGACATAATATTAAAGGTCAATTTCTCACCAGAGACCTAAAGAGTTACCTAATCAGATACTGGTGGTAAGGAAAAAAAAACAAGATTGGATCAATATTAAACTTGGTCTTGAGCTGGAAAATAATCCTCAAGGGGTATGTGGACTGGAAAAGATGCAGGCCAGTTTTTAACTGATGCTCTCATGGTAAAAGGCAAACTCTGGCTGTTGAAGAGAACACTTTTTCTCAGTCTGTGCCAGGCTGAGGGCTGCACAGTGACCCAAAGAATGTGACTTAAAAGTGACCTGAATTTTTATTTTTTTTATTATTTTTTTTTTTGGTTGCTAACACAACTGAATTTTTAAAATTCAGATGTTTTAGCATCAACCATTTTACAGATATGGAATCCATCCAGATCCCACTTCCATTGTGAACTGTACACCCCTCTCTGGTAGTCCACCCCCTAGCTGAACCAGTGTGAGACCAGAAAGGATCACTTCATACTAGCCACACCAACTTCCCTTGCGCCAACATCCTGTTAGGTGTGGAGTCACCCAGAACCCCCTGATACCTTGTCCACATGTGGATGGTGCTTTCCCTCTGCAGACTGTCCTGCCTCAGTCCTGGCGCTCAGCTGACTCAGGCCCCACCATTCCCAGGGCATCTCTTGACAACCAGGTGTTTCCTTCCACATGCACTATATACCCCTGATTTTCTAATTCTGTTCCTAGACACCAACCAAATAAAAGCCAGGTAAAGAATCCTCTTGCCCCCTCCATATACATATGCATATGTACCAGGGTTTTTCAACCTTGCCATGACATTTAGGCTAGATCTTTCTTTCTGGGGGGCTATTCTGAGCACTGTTTAGCAGAATCCCTGGCCTCAACTCACTAGACACCAGCAGCAATCTCCACCACTCCCCCTCCAGAGATTGTGACAATCAAAAATGTCTACAGACATAATCAAATGTCCCCTCAGGAGTAAGATCACCCCCAGCTGAGAACCACTGAGGTAAGACATACATACAGCACCCCCCACATACCTTCTATGTGTCTAAAGCAGATGAAAGTGGTGCTGCTCTGGTTGGAGGGGTGGTGTCCTAATCCCCACGCCTCCAAGGCCCGCCAATAAGCCTCCTAAAGGGCCTTGGCTGGAGAGGGAATTCTTAGTGCCTCCAGTGTTCAGAGTTGCACCTGGAACACCCCTCCAGTGATGTGGAATTCAGGCTTTATCTAGCACCTTCCAAAACTCTGTTCATGCTTCCTGAGTGCTGTCTGCACACCAGCCCCTAAGATAAGTGTATTTGTGTACGTATGTGTATATATGTGTGTCTTTTAGTTCTCAAAAACCAGTTATGACACAGGTACTGTTATTACAGTCACTTTACAGAGGAGGAAGCTGGGCTTAGAGAGGTTAAATAAGCCATTGAACTGTGGTCTGAACCTTCAACTCTGTCTCCACTTCTTTCAACTTGGCCCTATTCCCTGTTCACAGTGTGGCTAAGCTGGAGTTTGGGGTCACCATGATCCCCAGATGTTCATTTTAGAAGGGGCACAGAGTAAGCACACAATAGCTGTCAGATATTGGTGTTAATATGTGATAAAATAAAATCTGAGTTATCCTTACAGATAAGAACAAACCAAAAGCAGGAGGAAGCATAATGAGGGAAACCACAGGCCCTGCTACCTCATGATGACAATGTTCCATTAAGCATCATTTTCCAATTAGCTTGGAAAACCTGTGTTTAGACTCAAACAGCCTGTATAACTGTATGGCAGAAGATGTGCTCAACAATGCCCTCCTTCCAAACTGTCATCTAGGGATGCAATGATCCTATAACCACCAGGAGGGGCTCTTGAGGGAGCTGGTCCTATACACTGAGATCAAAACAGGCCACTTACTCCCTGGAATGTCAAGTGCATGTTCTGTGACGCTCTAGTGCAACCACTGCAGGGGTGGTCAACAGTATAAAGCATTATTTCTGGGTGTGGGATTTGGAGAGGCTGGCCATAGGAAGGCTGCTGTTTTATGGCAGATGACGCAGACAGAAACATGTCCTCCCATAAGCATTCCTAACTTGACTCATTAATTAGGAATTTCTGCTACTGAAAGGACTGGCAAAAAGCCATCTGCTCTTTTTCCTGGCCCTCATCCTCCTCCCCCAGGAGTGAAGCATGACCTCTCTGCTGGATGAGACAGAGCAAAGGTCCTGGGTGCCCACCGCCCACTCCATTATAATTGTCTAAGGGGACCTGCTTGCAGCAAGCACACATCTGCACTTTCCTCAGGGGTGCCTGAGACGTGGGCTCCCTGGGGTCCTGGTACAAGTACCTGTTGCACATGTGCAGACATGGGAGGAGCTCTTCTGCAGACCCCACTTCCACCAGGAGGGTCTCCAGGGCTGGACTCGGGGAGGAGTGGGTAACAGGCCTGAAATGGCTACAGGCCCAATTCATTCTAAAGTCCCACCTTAGTAGCAGAAAGGCAGCATCTAGATCCCAACATGACCCCATGGTCTGGTCTAAATGGCTCACGCTCAGAAGGGAATGGAGCCCGATGAAGTCATGCCCTCCCCTCAGTCAGTGTGTTCAGAGCCTGTAAGAGGGACATGCAAGGCAGGACTATGATATCAAGGGGAAAGGCTGGCCTCGCCTGGGTAGGAGAGGTTCTGACAGCTTCAGACCTACTCAGCTCTGAGCAGTCTTGCTTCAGCTTGCTTTAAGAGAACAGTCACATGTATGTTCTGTTCACACCACAGACTCTAAGGTTCTATTATAAATAAAAGTGGGCCAATTGTCCATAAACACACATCTAAAAATAACTGCTACATGAGAAGTAAGGGCAAATTATTTGGGATAAAACTTAATATATTAAGGAATCTAGTTACATTCCCCTACCCCAGTCCTTGCCCAATAAAAATAATATAATAACTTAGAACACACTCACACACACACATACACGTACAAACATGACCTTCAACTAAGAGAAGATTAAGTAAGTCATTGCTTTTTTAAAAAACACCAAATGATCAAACTACAGAATACAATCTTAGAAGTTCCTTATTTTATTTCCAAATCTGTAGAGTTTCCTGCTCATCCTGCCTCACTACTTCCTACATGGATGTGGTACCCTGCCAGCCCTGCAAGAGCTGCTGAACATGGGTATCTTGCACCAGGTGATACTGGTCTGCCAGGCCCCGAGGCTCTCTGGCCCCCTGCTCACACCACTTACTGCAAGCCAAACCAACTGCAGCAAAGTTCTTGTTTCCCCAGTTTCCGAGAAATAGATATCTTGGCTGATGAAAGAAATTAAACACAAATTAATAAGGGAACTCACTGTGCTTTCATAGTTTTATTCTAAAGTACCTTCTCATCTATTTAATAAGGGTCTATTTGATTACCACAATAACCCAGTGAAGTACACAGGAAATTACTATTAAACATATTTTAGATAAGAAAACCCCAATCCTAAATGCTTAAATGACCTTTCCCAAGAGGCGTAAAGAGATGAGAGAGCCAAATCACTAGATTTTTCATGTTGCTTTTTAAAATAGCTTTTTCACTTCAATTTTTAAAAGCTCAATATCTCCAGTGATTAAAAACCCAACAAAAGGAATTCACAAATTTTGTTGGGTTAACAGAGATAGGCCTCTCTGATGCACAAGGCAGGCTTATATAACCTTTTGAGGTTCCATGACTGGTAGGAAATATAAACAAACACCTCTGTAAGCAGAGCAGCAAGAAGACTCTTGGGAGAGGGTTGTCACGCTTCTGAACGTGAGTTTACTGCAAAGCATAAACCCAAAGGGCTTTTTTCCTCCACATCTTGGAATCTAGCTCTATTTTTCTCCCAAGCCACTTGACTCCAGGCCAAGTGAACACAGCCCACCCACAGGATGGGAGG